TAACGAAATGCTCACTCGATTAAGGGACTAGTCACGTGACTTTTCTAACATTTTTTTTACCGTTTCATCGATAATCGAAGGCAAAAATAGTCCGAAACATGAGATTACGCCATCGAGTTCACATTTTTATTTCTCAAAGAATCAAAACGTTTAATGTTTAGTTTAAGGTACGTTTCNCACCTTAAGATGTAAATGCAATAAAATAAAATTAAACTTGCGATGCAGATAACTCATAATTTATTAACATTTTTTTTTAACAACTCTTCTTTAATGAATTTATTCTTGTAATAACGAATAGTAATGAAGTAGATTACGGAAGCACGTTAATTTTATCTTGATTATTCAGTAACTTACGGACAAGTGTCTACATTCCGACCTTTACACGTGTATATTTGCCGGTTGGACAACGGTACAACGGAAATGGAAACGAAGTTCCACCGAATTCGCAATTCGTAAGCCGCGGAACTATGAAACTGCAAGCCTGCCAAGAATCTTGCGCGACGAGAAGCGATGCAACGATAATTTAGTGGTGCATTGAACGTTTCCCGTGTGCGCGGCTCTTACGTTCTCTACCCGAATTTCCCTGTCCGTTCCGTTATGAATTATATACTGTCACATACCTCGCACTGGAACCAATAATTGCTTTGTACTCCGTTACGCCGGTTAATACTACTGTCGCTGCTAAAGGGATTACTGTCCAAGCTCTGTATTAAGGCATAGTAAGAAGATGAAACTGAATGCTTTGTTTGTTGTTAATGAATTAATACGTAAAATGTCCAAACGGTTACTTCTATTATATAAAGAGACAACGTTTGTTTGTTGTTAGAAAAAACATCAAAAACGACTGAAGTATTTGCATTGAAATTTGGACTTGTAACTGTACGAAAGGTACGTTACATAAGAAAATAAGAGTGTGAGAGTATGAAATGTCCTCGGAGGAAATTCGGGAATGGCAAGATGCTAATACGTTTAAGGAAAACGTGAAATAAGTCTTAACTCATCTACTTCGCAAACTGATAGCAGCATAATGCAGGCATACTAACAGAACAGTTGTACCACTTTCGCTATCTTCCAATTCCGAAAAGTGAATTACACCACTGTGACTCTTACCTTTTCGCGTAGTCACTTGAGCTACAACAGGGCAAAACGCGGGCGAAGGAAATAAAATATTTACCATTGAATTATTTATCCCTTGTGTATAACAATTTATTGAATCATTTGCAGAACAATGAAAGATTAATGTAAGAAAGTTATTTATAATCGATTCCCGATACGTCGATTGTATTCCGTTCACAGTTGGTTGAAACAGCGTATTTATAGCTAGTCGTTTTGTTTCGGTGAAATACAATGTAATTAATGGAGATCGATAATTCTCATGGATCAGATCGTGCAAAAGAAAGGAACCCGGATGAAGGTGGCGTTTATTATTATCTCTGACGTTTTTGGACTTTATCATCGGTCAATGATAAGAGTTACTGCTTGTTTTGTCTGTAGTCATATCTAGTATCAAAATAACAAATTAATAAACACTAAGTTTGTCGACAGTTTCTGTACACTAATATACTATATTTATATTTGTTACATTTAAATGCCATTTACTATAGACATCAGTTCTTCAGTTTGATAATAGCTTAAATAATAATTACGACTTTAATAATATAATAATACTTTCGTTCTACTTTTATTTTTATTATAAAGAATTTAAAACCTGTCATTTGACTGGTGTATGGTAGGTTTAATATTAAAAAGATGAGAAAAGAAACATTGTATTTGCAAATATTTAATTATTGTTTCAAAGATAAGTCTATACCTTCCAAGTTACAGTGGAAATTGGAATAAGAAGCTTTAAGCAAGTGTCTACAGTAGTTTCTGACTGTCACTGTACCAGCATGATCTTGTATGCGCATAATATTTCGTAGCCCGATGATTTTCACATACGAAGACGGTAGTTGTTCATAGCCCAGCGAAACAAATGAGGGATTGTAACTATGAAACTCGCCGATCCGGAGTTTCCACCTTCCACTTCTTTGTCTCAACTAAGGGCCGAGTCGACCACCATTCGTCTCCTCTCCCACGATCCGAATCCCGACACGAAATAAGAATAAAGTAAATACTCGGGAGTCGTCTCCGAGTACATGGCCGTTTGGCACGAAACCAAATCCCACCTGCTGTAGGTAGGTATATCATAGCTCGGGATTGAGTATAGTATATACGCAATGTTCTTTTCAAATCATCCCAAGGCTTGTTTCGAGGCGGGAACGATAACGAGCTTTCGCTCTGAGGACGGTCGTGAGTAAGTGGGTCGTGTAACCAGAGATTTGTATCATCTTTTTCTTTGATCACGTAATTCAGTTTTATGAGGATGAAATTCGATTTATATTTAAAACAAATAATATGCAAATCGTATAGAAAAGAAAGATTGATTACACAGTCCAACAATCAAAGGCTTTCTAATTCTTTTTGCACTATTTACTAAGTGAGTCTTACAGAGTTCATGTCAAAATCTAAACCGGAAGAAGAATTGCTCTATCACGTCCAGTCGCCTAAAAAAATATTGGCGCACTTTTTAATAGGGAATAATAACTCTTTTAATATTAATCCAAATAACATAATTTTTTATGAGATCCTGCAGGGCACAGTTTACTATGTAATGTGCAAAAAAATTTTTATTCGTCTTAATCGTTAAGAAAAAGGTGAACGTTGCGTTTTTTAACTTTTTTATTGGGGTTTCCAACAAAAATTTGAAACATGTTTCTGTAAAATTTGAAGCAACGTGTTTCTGTACATGATTCCTTTATCAGAAATGTCTATAGAATCCAATATCGTGCAGCAAATTCCTGCTGGATAAAGGGATTTGTACATAAATACAAAAATTGGGTGTGTAAAATACTCGCGTCAGCTTTTTTAAACATAAACAATTATTTACGAGTAGTAAAAGGAGCGAAAGCAAACAATGGTTTACATGGATATATTGTGGAAAGTTTCCTTTATCTGTTGATTAAAAAATGAACTTTCTTGCACTCTTAATTTTCCCTTTTCCCCAAAATCATGCATTGTTACAACAGCTGGTATTTTTCGAAAACGGCACAACATTTCTGTTTCCGGATTTATTTTTGCCATGAGAAACTATTAGACTTACATAGTGGAAATTGTAAAACAAGTTTTGTTTTATACAGTGATATCAAAATGTACCAATTCACATATTTTTTGTTTGTTAAAATGTTAAATTTTCTGTTATTTATACTTTGCATAAAATGTCTATAGAGAATCGCAGTCTTCGAAACGATTTGGGAATATTTCATACAGTTAAAATTATAATAATTGCGCCAAGGAGATAAATTAATAATTAATGAATTAATCATAGTAACCTGCATTTACTATAAAATCGAAATAAAATGAAATTCGGTAGTAAATTGCTTGTTGAACTTTTATATGTGATGAAACGAACGATTATGACGCCTAGGCCAGTTACGTTAAATGACAGTAGAAGAGTCCAATATCTAGTCAGACATCTGGTTATAGTGTACGCTACTTCCTATAGAATTCCCACGAGATAATTACCAATTTCAACTGAAACAGAGTTAAATAGAATTAGACCGGAGTAATTATAATTATTATATCGTTTATGATGTCATACACACGTGCAGTGACTCAATATTCATACTCATTATTTCAGGCGAGGAGACGAGAAATCTTTACATTGTCGAACGTTCGAGACGCTCTCGTTTTCACTCACCTAGTCCCACCCTCTCAGGCCTAAATCATGTTTAAGATGGGTGGGGCCCTGACTCGGTCTTAAGGGAGGACACGCTGATTGGAAAAAGCACTCATAAGGGAAACCAATCAGCATGTTTCCTGACTCCGACGCGTTTGTCGCCAGGCAGTATTAGCATCGTTTCAGCTAATCTGTTCAGTTTCGTTTGGGCCAGTGATCGAGATCGACTGTGTCATCATTTCGGACATTGATCGAGATTGAGAACTGCCATAGGCGAGAGCCTTTTGCCAAACGTTTCGGGCAAAGATCGAGTTCATAAACGTGCCAATCGTTTTGGGCACCGATCAAGATCAATTATTATTCGCATTCTGCCAATCGTATCGGGCACTTGGAATAAGTAAAGTTTAAATTAATTTTTAACTTTACGCACGAACTCGGACAAACGACGCGCGAAGTTCGTTCGAGACGAAACATTATATTATTCTTTTTCAATAAATATAAGTATTATTCATACTCTGCAACAAAGATGTATTAGTTTTCTTAGTAATCTTATGAGTTAGAATATGATTTCGATGATTGATCGTATGCAAATAATTTCTGCCTGTTGGCAATNCCATATACATTAGCTCGTGTGTGCGTTTTAAAGTATAATTTACATACTTAAATACTATCACATCATTTCACCGGTGTAGATATCAATTACAACATGCTCTACGTAGTTAGGAACTCGGACAGCGGAAATTCATTTACGAATAATTGATTAATTACAGAATAAAATTTAATTTAACGCTAATTTTGATTATCGAAGAATAGAAGATACTAGCTAGCGTAATTTAATGATCTCGAAAACCTGATTAGCCGCGCGCTTAGCTGTCGTTAATCGTGATGTAGTTACCCGGGAATTAAAAGTCCGTAAGCGTATTTGCTTTATTATAACAATTTTCCGTATTGCAAAATAAATCGTCGAGCTAAAAATTTTACATCATTGCCTTTACATACGTATTTTTATAGATTTAATTCCGCGATAGCTTAAATCTAAAATAATAAATGCCTCTGGAACAATGCAGCTTTTTAATTATTTATAACAGATATTACGTCGTAATTTCACTCCATTCTATTATTATTTCACTCACTTGATCGATCGTGCCGTTGTTTTTAATAAGAAACAGGTGAAACAGCAAATCGGAATGTTATGCACAAAAGGACGGTATTTCAGTCAATCATCTTTGAATAATTCTATCAATGTTATCAATGTAATCAGTAAGTTCCTTATTTAATCGTTTTAATTACACAGCAGTGTATCACGTTTATATCACGATCTTAATCACTTGTCCTAAGTCCAGACCACGTTTTCCCCTGACCTGTTTCAGAGGAATGTTTACAAAGACACTGTATTTAATGTTTTTCAATTTACCAAACATATATTATCCAAATGGAGAGAGAAGTTAGTGTGAAAGAATCTTTACTCTTGAAAAGACTTGGAGAAACTGATGGCCTGGACAGCAAAATCCTAGAAAACTCTTTTGCCACGAAGTTTCTCGAATTTCTCACCGGACCATCTGTTCATGGATCAGTGTCGACGTGCGACCAATCCTCCGAGTCTCATTCACTATCAGACACACAGGCGCATTCCTGAAGTCTGTCAGTGTCTTTATTCGCATTTCCGTTGCTCGAGTACGAGACCTTGCTGTATCCATACGTTCGCGATCTCCTCAGATGCCACTTTGTCGCCACGTATATGACTGCTGCGGCGAAGACGAGCAAGTTGATGGAGAAGAAGACGACCATCCGGTAGTACCATTGAGTGGACTGCATCGTCCATGAGATCTCCCGTAGAACGCAGATCGACTCGCCGAGGTTCGACGATAGCTCGGCGTCCTCGTGGCAGCTGGTGCACTCCGTCTCAGAGGGTCCCGAGCAAGTTAGGCAGGAGTAATGGCAGCTGGAGCAAACCGATTTCGTCTCATCCGAGACGCTGTACGTGCCGATCGGACATTCGTACACACAGGTCCCGTCATAGTAGTTCCAGTTCAGCTTACACTCTGAAAAATTACATATACATCTTTGATGGTTCCCTCTCTCGTTCTGACGACTGTCTTCTCCTATTCTGTCTTTCTGGTGTGAGAATGTGTGTGTGTGTATTTTCTGTGTCGAGCGAGGCGGCCCGTAGACGTACGGATGGCAGTGACACGCTTATTTATTCATTACAGATTTTAGTTCAAGGCTGCCACTTGAGAACTAGTTCCATCCAACCTTGAAGTTTTAATATGATATTTTTAAAGGTATAAACTTTCTAAAAATGCAAAAAAAAAATCGATTTTTTGACAATTTCACACTAGGCGAGCCACTTAAACGTGTAGTCTGCGTACATAAAAGTATAAATATTAGTTTGAGCTTCTGACTAAATAATTTATATAGTACAAGGATACAGAATACATGAAAACTAAGTTAAAAGATATAAATTCGAGTAAATTTCCTTGATATTCATTCTCTCTGTCCCTTTTATTTTTGTCCACGACTGTATCTTCTCCTCCTTCTATATTTTGACGGAATTGATACAGTCCATTAAGTGATTAGCGATTACCGGTTTCTCGGTGCTCCAAGTTTTCAGATTATTATAGATACACATACAGATAAGTTTTGGATTGCAGCGTAATTTGAATTTTCAAGTAATACGCGTTGAGAGAGCAAGTTCCGAACAATCCTCGAATGGGAAGGTACGGTTTAGGGTGTATCTTGATGAAGTTAATGCCGATGTTGGTAAACCGTATGCTCGACGGGAAACAAGCGAGGAACCTGAATTACTGTTACGAAATTAATAGCCACGGAAACCGAGAACCATTTGATTCCTTGTGCTACAGTTTCAGAATTATTGCCGCAATATCACGTTTCATTATTTAATGATCTCGGACGGAGAACTTACATTAATTATTCACTAATTGTCATCCGTACGTTACTCTTTTCATACTATTACGTGTCGTTTCGTGTCTGTTGTCGTCGTTTAAATTACCATTTTTATAGTATTACAATTATCTTTACGCACGAGTTACACATTTCTCTTATCAGTAAATACATAAGACATTCTCTATTATAATAATAAATAAATAAATAAATAAATAAATACACATTCAGTACACATTAGGCCTCGGTGAATTAATGATTGAACTGAGACAAGGTAAATAAATTTGACGTTCGTCAAACAGTTTGTAGAAAATTTCAATTTCATATTCGCCGAGCTCTAATTTCATATTTACGTACATGTTACTACTTGCGTTATCACATAAAAAAATCAAGCCAGATGAACTTATAGATATTCTCTTAACTATAGAATCTACACTGCATGCTGAAATCTGCCTAACCATTGGAAAAAAGGAGACACATATTATCCTACTATTGTACAGAATTTTCAGAAAGTTGTATCCAGAGATATTTCTATAAACAACACAGAGATTTAAAAGTAAATGAAATGATGATTAATTTAATCTGAAGCGTTAAAGCATAAATAAATAAAGTAATGATGCCAGTGCCCTTCTCACGTGAAAGTTCAAAAGTACGTGACTCTATAAACAACTATTTTAAGCGTTAAACAGAAAGTAAGAAAATAGGAAAGCAAAATCATAAATTATAAGATCAAAGATAAACAAGCTTCGAACGACAGGAGGAAATTAGTCAAACAAATTGAATCTGGGCAGATTTATAAAGAGGTTTAGTATATACAGTTAATACTTTTGTTATTGACACATATTACACGTTGCCTAAGATTCAACTTATTTGATTGCGATATTGAGATACTTTCAAAGCGTGATGGATAGTACAACTAGAAAACATCAGAGAAACGATAGAGAAGTAAGACTCACCGTGCTGGTGAAGCGATCAGAGGATAGGTCTTTTTTATAATTGGTTGTGGATGTGGATGTGGTTGGTGATAGTTGGTTGGTGATGGTTGGTTGGTTGGCTGGTCTGAGAAAATCCACACCGCAACTCGCCCGCGGAGAGCCCCAAGTACCTAAATACGCTTTCGAGAACCTGCTATGGAGTAGAGGGATATAAAGCGACACGGTGACATTCTACGACAAGTAAATCGTTCTCTTTTTCACAGGCTGTCGTCGAGACCGAATTCAATTTCTGATCCTCTGAGATCACCGACGCGATGATCATTCACTTCCATTTCCCTCTTTCGCAGAAATGTTATTCATCGTTTGTAAACTTTAGACGGTGAACTTGTTTTATTTCGGACAACTTTCTGCGGTAACTTTTGAAATTTCGCAACAAGTGAGGACGGAACAATGTCTCAATTGTACTTGAAAACGATGCAAGTTGAAGGAGACAGCTTACTTTTTGTTCGCATTAATGGTAATTGAAGTTTTATCAGGGGAACGCTGAGAAATTCATCTGACAGATAGGATTCTCGAGAACTTTTATTCGACTCGTGGAAAGCGGAGAAAGAAAACGCGTAAGATAGTAAACGAAAGCCGCGAAAATTCACATCACCGAACAGACGGGACGGTTCAATTTGTTAAAAATTTACCGTTACTAGAGATTCTTATACATTCAGTACATCGATGTGCGTAGTTTAAAGAGAATGATTTAAAAATTTTATTATACAGGGTGGTTCAAGAGATATTCCCATCTCGATTTTCGTTGTTAATATTACACGCAGCAAAAAATATTTACAAACATATAACGTTGGATGGATTCGAGAGAGTGTGATGTTATTTAGACTAATGATGTGAGTTATTTTGTACGTGGACGCATAGTAGCGATATGAAAGTCTCCAACATTCTTTTAATTTGGATTATACAGTTTTTTCCTGCACCGATGAAGCTTCATATTTTCCTTTAGTAAAATGCAAAGCGAGCCATGGTTTTTAAATCATTAACTAAAAATATTGACCAATGAGAGTACGCGTAGGGCCCGCGCCCAGCCATGGATAGATAATTAATTTATCATCATCAAACATCATAGTAATTAATTTAGGAGATATCTCGGAATTCGTATTATTGGACTATACTTTATCGAAAGATTACTGATTGGATATGCAGATTTCTTGACAAATACTTTATGGCCATCTTTACACGATTTGCCATTGCATATTCGACGAACTATGTAGTTCCAACAGGACTGTTGTCCTGCACATTATGGAAAAATACAAAGGAATGTATTAAATCAAATATTTCCGAATCGTTGGGGATGGGACGAGGTGGTTTCATTAATTTTCCGGCAATTTTCCAGACTGTAAGATATGTTATAATAACACACTATCGGTTTTTGGAAGCCATCTGAAGCAAGCGCGTGTTATCGCTTAGTGATATTTATTTTTCGAAAAAATTCGTTACCATAAAGTCGAACGTTGATCAGGAAAAACTATACAATCCTACTTAAGGATGTATTGGCTATACAGTCAATCCTAAAAGTTTATGCACTTTAGAAAAGCATTTTTTAAAAAGAAATCAGACGTCGGAAGAACATTGCTAATAATAAATAACAAAAAAAAATTTTCGATTTTTCCGAGATTTTTCCAAGGGGTACCCCTTCAATTTCTTCCAAATTTTCGTTTTTTGCCAATAACTTCCAAACCGTGGGATCTACGGAAAAATTGCATCAGACCTTTCTTGTAGAGGACGACGAGATCTACAATTTCTGTATAAAAGTTTTCCGCTAGCATTAATATTTAACGAGTAATTTGCAAAAAACTGTTTTTTCGTTTTTCGTCAATAACTCGTTAAATATTAATGCTAGCGGAAAACTTTTATACAGAAATTGTAGATCTCGTCGTCCTCTACAAGAAAGGTTCTATACAATTTTCCCGTAGATTCAACGGTTTAGGAGTAATTAAGGAAAAACGAAACTTTTTGTCAAAAGTTGGCTATTTCGACGGTGGAATGGTCGGATTTTATCAGTACCCATAAAATGCCAAATAATCATACGTAACTCGTTAAATATCGAAGTTAGAAGAAGAACAACTTTTATTTGAAGCATTTTTCGCAATTTTGAAGAAAAAAAATTTTTGTCAGCGTCAATACTTAATTGGATATTTCCTTCTATACTTTTTAGCACGTAGCTATTTATTATTAGCATTATTCCTCCGACGTCTGATTTCTTTTTAATTATAGGAAATGCGTTTTTCTAAGGTACATAAACTTTTGGGATTGACTGTATAGCCAATACATCCTTAAAAAGATGTCGATGATCTTCTACCCGTACTACTTATAAAATACCAGAATGTGACTCTTTTGAAACTATACAGGGTGTCCCAAAACTAGTATAAGATATTGAAATGGGAGGTTCCTGACGTAATTTTAAACAACATTTTCCTTAGCGAAAAAGTCGTCCGAGGCATGGCTGAGGAGTTACTAACAAAAAACCCCGACCAATCAGAGCGCTCGGTTGGCGCGAGCTCCGGCTCGGGAGCGTTGGTTCGAATCCGGACGTCCGGCCTTTGACGCGTGAAAAACCGCTCCACTCAATACGAAGCGTTTTAAGAAAATGACGAATAATAAACTAAATGAATAAAAATGCAAATAAATTAATAGCAATTGATATATATAATCGTTATTCAAATGGAATGGATGGGGAAATGATAAATTGTTGATAAGCCGGACGTCTGGATTCGAGCCAACGCTCCCGAGTCAGAGCTCGCGTCAATTATGCGTTCTGATTGGTCGGGGATTTTTGTTAATAACTCCTCAACCACGCCTTGAACAACTTTTTCGCTAAATGTTGTTTAAAATTACGTCAGGAACCTCCCATTTCACTATCTTACACTAGTTTTGGGACACCCTGTATATAAACATTCTTTGCTACATATAATAATAACGACGAAAATCGAGGTGGTAATATCTGCTGAACAGCCCTGTATACAAATTATTTCCAAAAATCATTGCTATTTATATAGAAGCAACAGTTATCGAATTATGCAAGAAAAGAAGATTAATAATTAGACAATCGCTATATTCTTGTCGTGTCAGTAGAAAAAATTAGTTCCAATGTGCAAATTGCATAAACTTGAAGTGCTCAAAGACAATCAGCGACGTTCGATTAA